AAAAAAAGAACAAAGACTTACATTTCAGCATTTTGACGGCAACTGTCGTCTTTCCAGGCCTGCCCCGAAGTCCTGTTGCTGTTCCCTTGGCAACCTGACCAAAAGCGCCTTTACCAATTATCTTTTCTATTGTCACTTGCTGCTTTTCAACTTCCCAAGAACGTGTTGATGGATGAAGAGGCGCGTACTCAGCACTTTGAACAACACGTTGTGTTTCTTCGTTGGCTGTAGTTGCTTTTGATAGGTCCATGTATTCTGAGCGAGGCTGGGTAGAGTTACTCGGAATAGAACTACTTGGTTGAAGATCGTCCAGTGCCATTTCATTCTAGAAAAATATGTCAGAGATATATATAGGTGTTTTCCACAGCATCTTTTAAAGGCGCTATCTCAGGATATTTAAAATATTTTTTACTGGGGTATTAAGTCAAGAGAACGCTCGAGAAAAGAGTTTTGTAAGATAGCAAAGCAACCCAGTAGTAATAATAAACCGAAAATAGATAAGGAAGGTTAGGCGTAAGGAGCATTAAGGCAGATTAAGAACCTTGCAAATTTGACATTTTTTTTCTTCAAGAGTCGCAGAACCTGTTCTAAAACATTTATTTTACACCCCCCCCCTTTCCCCCTCCCCCGGTTCGCCCCCCCAGGACACAAATCAAAGCATTTGTGTTATCTTCATCACTCCCTAGGACACAGAAGAGCTTGATGAGTTTCGGTATATTGATCCCCATGACAGACACATTTGCTTCAGTTTGTATAGCGCAGTTGAACAAAATGTTCGTAAAATTAAGTATAGTCTACTTTCTTAGGTCCCCATCCTTCCTTGAATAATTATGTCCCCTACTCCCAAAAAACTGGTCCTGAACCACCGTCAATTTTCTGTAGCTACCTTTCCAAAGAAATCAACAAATGCACACCAATAAGCAGGCACCGGCAATGTTTTTCTGCAGTTCTGTAGATCTCCATGGAGTTTCTTCCGCATGCATGGAAAATTTCCCTCACAGTATACCGATAAATGGAGGCAGCGATTTGCATCCTTATGAGCACTATTGCTCGGCAACGGCCTTACAATAGCGCCCAACAAGTATTTTAACTTTATACGACAAACGAAACCTAACCAGCCTTTGGGCAATAAAAAGTTACACGGTATAACTGCTTTACTGCTTTCGATAAATGACTTACGTCATAAACACCTCTCTCTCCTTTATAGCGCCTGAAATAAGAAACAAGCAGAGATTCGAAGAATGATATTTGAACATTTGAAAATTTGAAAATTGGTATTTGGTCTTTTAAAACTCACATATAATTGATCGAGTTTAAGTAAAGAAATCATGACCGTGACGATGTTAAAATATCTGATCTTACGTGTAATTAGCACAGATTTTACCACTTTATTTCTCCGTTTTCTCCTCAGTTTTAGTTTACATTGAGAAAATATATCAAAAACTCAAAACAGTGTTTGACCTCATTTCCAAGTACCTCAAAGTTCGTCAAAAATACTCCTTTGCACGTCGTATTTTCAAATCTCTTCTCGGTATTTGGAAAAGTGGTGAAACACGGTCATTCGTGTTTGATATATCACACCATAACGAATCATCAAAGGAACAACTACTATGAAGACAAAGCTGAGTATAACTCGGAACAAATCTTGAAAAACTTGAAGAGATTCTTTAAGCATTATTGATCTGCTGTGAGCTATTCCTCATTTCACAAGTGAAAAGCATCCTACCTCTGTTTACCAGCAGTGCCTAAAAAAAAAAACAATAACACAATTGAACTTCATAATGGGGACAGTATATATGTAGCAATGAGACGAATGAGAAGGAAAATAGTGCACTCTAAAATGTAAAAACTGACTTACCTTTCTTGTGTAGCCAAACAATGTAAAGAATCAGACAAATGATTATAAACACAAGAACTCCAACTACTGCTGCCCAGATNGAAAATAGTGCACTCTAAAATGTAAAAACTGACTTACCTTTCTTGTGTAGCCAAACAATGTAAAGAATCAGACAAATGATTATAAACACAAGAACTCCAACTACTGCTGCCCAGATAACGTCATTGCACGAGCACTTGCATTTTTCAGCAGCTATGAAAGAAAAATGAAAACCGCCCCGTTTGCTTGACTTCGTTATGTTGATTGATGTTATTGGCAAAATGCACACAGAATTATTAAGTCAGTTCACTTATCCTGTTAGAGCAAGAAAATGTCTCGTTCTGAATACCTTCATGCGTCTTCATGGCAAAAGAATTTATAATACTTCCCAGGCACATGTTTCACGAGTTCTGCCGTCCCTGTTGCTTAGGAAACATATTCTAAATTTTGATATTTTAGCTATGGCAGTTGCTGTTACATATGAATTAGAGGCCGCAGCCAATCGCGAATTCCAGCCAATTGCAGTCATTTCAGTTGCCCGTGATCGCACGGCTGTTAATTTAAGGGTACGATAGCAGTTTTCCCTACTAGGCTTACGAAACCTCAGCAAGGTGGCTATGGCTAAGGTAACCAAATACTTGAAAAATCCCTGCTTTTAAAAACTTAGGAAAACGGAAAGATGTTTGTTTTTCTCGGAGGTGATTCGCAAGGATATCGAAGAAGAACCAATTACGGTCTCCAATTCCTTGGTTACTGATACTTTAATTGAAAATCATTATTTTACTCAAGCTACCATAAAAACAAAGACAAATTGTTGTACCTTTAGTGCCTGATGTGCCCGTGGGTGTAGGAGAAACTTTTTCAATGGAGTTGGGATCGACTTTAAATCCATCAAAATTATCTTCCTTTGGGGCTGTTCAAAACATTCAACACCTCGCTAACGACTGCGTTTTGGTTGAATTTCATCTCAAAATCTACGATAACACTGCCACACCTAGAAACAAAAAGATCACATTACACTGTGAAAAGCCTAAACAGGAATGACAACTTCCTGAACTTTTACTAGGGCTAAATCATGACAGAAAGTTATTAAAATGGTTGAACGATTTTAAGAGCAACATGAGGAGGTCTTTTAAATATCCATTTGCTATCGTGAAAACCTCTTAAAGGACTGTTTTTCAAAGATATCTGTAATGTACTGTAACTGATGAAAAAAATTCCTGTGGATCGCGATCTGCAAAACTTTGATAAACACAAAGACACGGCGAGTAAAGATAAGTAGAAATTACGCAAAAAATATATTGAAATGCATGCTATGCTAGAGTGAAAAGATGGAAAGTTCCTACGTCATCGATGCCTTCGTTTTGTTATCATCCGGCTTTCATTAGTTCGTTCCTCCGCCTAAACTGTATTTACTTATAGTAACTGAAGATGAAGGAGTAGACAGCTAACCTCGCCATGTGAGTACAGCTCTAGGTGTACCAACATGCGCTATTAACCAGCCTTGCTAAACAAGGGCTCAATAATGCCCTCTCGTTTATCGTCCTAATTGTCAGAGCATTACAATGCTTCTTCTACGGTACTTTCAGAACATATCCCCATGACTAAGGTCACCAGACACAATAAGAATAGCAAAGGATATGTCATACCTACTGTCTACAGCTCGGGCATATAAACAACCCAGGTGTCTAACACGTTCACAAGCCTAAGAATAAAAACATCGACTCACTCAAAACCGTCTACATCTTTCTTGTTTCCCATACAATAGAAGTTTAAGTGAGATGAAAGTCACATTGTTTTTTGCTAGCATTGAAAGTGCCTGGGGCCGGACTGACGCAGGAAGTCAGGCAAAGTTTCAACGATAAGGACCTGCCGCTGGAAAATGCATATAATGTAACATAACATGCAATAACATACGATAACGAAGAATAACGTAGCGTAGATAAGCATACCGTACATATGAAGCATAGTTTTACGAGACATACTTGTCTAACATGAAATAACAAAACCTGTTCCTATGTAAAAAATTTTTTTAAAGTTCAAAAAGGCTATTTTTTTAAAAAAAGGAAACACCGAAGTTTTAAACTACAGAAGTACCAAGAACGAAAACCCAGGAAAAACACTTCCCATAACTTTTAGATTTGCACTGCATGTATTGTGGAACAACACAAACTAGTCACACAATAGTTGTATGCAAACAGATCCAGGGAACGATACATAGAAAAACAATTATTTGCAGCCTGACTTGTAAAACTAAACAGAGAATGCATAAAAAGAAGCAAAATATAGAAACACAGATACTTAATTTAGACTGCTAAACCTTCAGCACTTATAACCCTATATATAAAACCCGCGCTACTTTTCATTAGTTAGGCCGCTAGGGGAACATAACAGTAATCAAACTTACATGGAATGTAAAGTTTACATGTCAATTATGCCTACATTCTCTCACTTTTCCAAAATTCCGCCATCTTGCATTTCACAAAATTATCAGAAATGTTACGACAGCTCCAAAATTGTTTTTCAAAAAATCAGAAAAAGGATAAAAGTACAATATTGTAAAGATTTTCTCTTAAAATCTCCATAAAAATCTAAAATTTTACTTGAACAGATATACTTTCAGCAGGGCTAAATTTTGGTGAAACACCCTATGAAAACATGGCTGCAATAGAAACGTCAAATCACGTGCTCAAACAAGTGACACAATAAAATGTTCGCTAATTAATTTTAGTGAGCGTCACCAGGTTTTTAACAACCATAGCACTATGTTGTTTAACGTCGTGTTATAATAGCAGTCTGCGACATGAAAAACAAAACAACTTACCAAACTAGGAAACCTTTTCTCAACGTCTAATCGTTCATCACAGCTCTTATCTATGGTCGCCGTGGCGGAAATAGTGTTCTCTACAGCTTGAGTAGAAACTAATAAATATAAGTATCACCACGTAACTTCTACAAAGATGATAAACTCAAATGTCTACCCGCATAAATAAGGCTACAACTTGTAATTACTTAAATCAAACAGTGCTGCCCACTTCAGCGATGGTGCTAATTTTACAAGAACACAATTTTCAAAATCATTCGCCAGTGGACTAGCAAACGTGTGGTATTTTCAAACTGTCCAAACATTTTTAAGCAAAATATTTTTTAGATGTTTTCGTGTTCTTTTATTAACTATTGTTGTTTCACTAGGAAAACCTAATAGTTGTTTACTGAAAATTCGGACTATTTTCACCTGTGCACCTTATCTTATATGTTCCCGGAGACACGAGTTTCAAAGAATAAGTATTTTTAGGATCCGACGTCATTCAACGCGTACCTCTTAATCATATCTCAGATCAAAAACAGATCATGGGACCGACACAAACGATTTTTTATTGCAACCTCGTTCCCAGAGTCCTCTAATTTAAGAAAACCCTAAGAACGAGGTTGGTTTTTATTGCTACCCCCTGGTTTCCATTTTTTTTTTTTNTACCAGCTCGCGATTTTCACTTGTGATGAAAGCTGCACTCCTTTTCACTGATATACTTTTCGTCTAGCTTTCGAAACTCATAAACAGCTACACAGCAAATTTCTCGGCAACCAGGGTTTAACAGCATGCTTCAGGTTCATAAAACACAATTGCTATCAATGTAGAGTACTTCAATAATACGCACAAAAACGATACTCCTTACCTTTAGTCGTTGTCTTTGGCAAGGTAGTTACTGTAGTTTGCACAGACTTTTCTGATAAAAAAAATGACACGTTTTTCATGCAGAACTACCAAACATTTTTATTGTGTTGGTATTTTGTTCAGAGATCAAGGCTCGTTGCATTTCCTTAATTGAAGGATTTCCATTTTTTAAGAAAAAAAGGCGGATGTTCCTCTTTATATTATGGGCGATGACTTCTGACCAGGACAACCACTTTGAATATGCCATTTCAAGTTAGAAATGCAGTGAACTGATGCAAAATGATAAAGTTAGTTTACAGAGTGCACTAACATAGTAAAGTTTGTGGCAAACTGTTCAAAGTTCTTCTTTTATGCCATTTTCAGGGGCCTCGCATCAATGCTATATGTTTACCACAACGCTCCATATGGAACACTATCGATTGTTTTTTTAAAATAGTACTTTAAAATTCGAGGGCAAAATGCCATGGCTGCAATATCTATTAATATTATCATACAACCTAGATTCCTTCTAACACAAAACTACTCTTACAAAGCAATAAACTGCGGCACCACGAGGGTTTAAATGGGCCACAAAGCTTAAGGGCGTAGAAAATAACTTATTTTCCTAAGAAAACCATAAAGCGTACCAACCAGTAGCACCAGTAACTAATTTGAGAACACCGAATCAAAATAATAATCGTCGTCTATAATCAATGTCATATGATGAAGCTACGCTGTGCATCCAATTAGCAGCGAGCAGAAATATTAAGAAGCATGAGAGAAACTGCAAAAAATTTTCTTTTATTTCATTTTCAGTAGCTCCACTCCAATTCTGTATGTTTGCTAAAAATGCTCCACATATGGACCTTTTATAAAATTATCTCCAACAATTTTAAGAATAACTGCCATATGACTGCCTAATATTGCAATATCAGCTATAATCCGTGATTAGTCTTGTAAAGTAACTCAAACAAAACAATACAACTCACCAACACGTAGCTGAAACATGACAGTAACGTTTCCTAAAGAGTTTTTGGCAAAGCAGGTGTACCATCCACTATCATCCAATACAGTCTCACAAAACTGCAGAATGTTATTGGTATTCATCATAGTGCTCGGCGAAGTTTCATTTTTCTTGTACCAAGTTATAGTGGGATGAGGGTTTCCAAGAACTGGGCAAGGAATTGCTGCTGGATCTCCCTCAGACACATCAATAGTGTAACCTTCACTGGTGATCTTAGGACGATCTGAAGAGACCAAACAAAGAAAAGATAAAACGCAGAATAAGACCTTTGATGCCAGCACCATAACGCCCGTCGCCTAAAGTGCAATCTCGATGTCACAAACATGCTTCCAACTTGTGCAGACATTCTGTTCCTGTACACAATCTCTGTTAAAAAATCTCACTGGAATATTTTGAGTTCTATTAACAATTAATATTGTCCTGGACATACTAAACCCGTCTCAATAAAACTATAAAGCTGGAGTAAGCCGTGTGTTAGCAAACCTTGGATTGAGAAGTTCCTTAAAGTTGACTAAGTTTAAACGGGAATCAATTCGTTCATGAGGACCATTTTATTAGTACACGCAAAATAAGGAATTTCTTACATTAGATTAGACGTCAACATAAAGAGGAGCATACAAGTTTTTTCTTTTTTTTTTTTTTTTAAAAAAAAGAATATTAAGGTTGCACCGCACAATGTTAAGGTAAACTGAACGGGCAATCCTGGAGACAAAATTTTTGGCAGAAAGGAAAATTGGACTGTATGCATTTGTTTCTGGGAAACTGTAAAATGGCAGTTTTGCTGCCGTCCCACGTGTCTCCTGGGAGCGAGTCTCCAAAGCAGCAAGTATCCTCAAGCTTTGACTGCAGGTTGTCTTGGAAAACCACCGTAGTTTCTTTGGGAAGCCACCATTCTTTGGCTTGGATTAAAAGTGGAAGCTGCGTTTGCAGTGAACAAGGTGATTGTCAGTCTCATATTCTGCATCGGGTATCTCACGGGCTTCAAGACCATCTCACTGTTCACAACGGCGCATTAAAACATAGTCCATTGGGCGCCAGTGTTGTGACAGGGAATGCGT